AGATGTTCTCTAGAAGAGGTTGTTCTCTTTGCCTTCTCTGTGATGCCATTTACTGGGCGAAGGGGGAATGGCCTGTGACCTGAGTGGGAAGGGGAAGGCTGCAAGGTCTGGACAGAGACCCAAGGTGATGTCTTCCATATTTGGAAGGGACATGAGAGACCACTGAGTCAATGAGTCCATTCCCCACCTTCAAAGAGGCCCACATCCCTACCATTCCCAATCTTTAGCATTTACATGAACTCCTATTCCCAAACCCTGCTTGAAGAGAAAGACTTAGTGTTCTTTCGTGCAGTGTTTCATCCCCCACACCATCTGGAAGGTTCTCTTTCACGCGCAGTTCTCAGCCTAGCCATTGGAGCATGGGAAACAGATGGTAGAGGGTGGCAAGGGGAATTGAGGAAGGTGGGGTGGCAGGTAGGGACTCAGCTTCACCCCCTCAACAAAGAGTGAGACACGAATAATAGCTAACATTTATTGTGCACTGCACTGCTGGATCATCTCACTTAACTCCACAACCATCCCATAAGGTTAATATTGTTATTTCCCTGTTTAATAAAAGGCAAGGAGATTGCATAAACTTGCTGTATTTGCAGAGAATACACCGTTATTAACCATGGGGGGCTAGATGATGTCCCACATCCTTCCATCTCTGATGTTCTAGATTCAGAATTCATTTATGATCTTCAACTCCTATTTCTCCTATAGCAAATATTCTCCATAAACATACATATTCATGAAAATGTAAATGGATATTAGACACAGAGTTTTCATATTTCTTTCATATCCATTTTCATATTCATTTCAATAAATAAACAAACATCTCTTGAGACCCTATACTGTACCAAACATCTTGCTATGTGCTCGGGACACAGAAATGTGGCCACTGCCCTTGCGGGATACCATACTATCCGCTTTCTGATGGATTTTAGAGCTAGGAGATTTGCTAATTTGTGCTTTTTCCACATTACATTTTAAAGATCAAATAATTAAGTAAAATATAAATGTTATTCTGCGACACTTAGAAACCCAGAATCTGGAAATTTAAATAAAAAGCAAAGAGATGTAAAACTGTAAAATTTCCATTGAATTTCATGTGGCAGAGAGAAGAGTGGAATCAGAATCAGGCCGCCCCTGGGTTCTGCCCACACCTGGCTCTTCTGTTAATTGGCCAAGTCCATGAGCCTCTTGGGGCCTCAGTTTCCCCATCTATATCACGATACTAACAGCCAGTCTGTGTGTCTCAGAACATTGTAAGGATCGGTGAGAAAATACTTCACAAATGGAAAGTCTTAGAAAAGGAAGCAATTTTAATTACTTATGAAACGAAGCAACGGTAGTGAATTTTCCTGAACGGTCCTTGGTTTTATAGTTCTTCGGCTTTAGAGAGAAGGAGATGGGATAATCTGAGTAAATGCAAACGAGGAGGAGCTAGCGGGTCTTCAGAGCCCGCTGTTAACCCTGAGCTCCTCAACCCCTGCCCCCCTCCCCCCCCCACCCCGACTATATCCACCATCCCTAGGGAACCAGGCTAATTGATCCCGTAGGAAGCCCCCAACTTCTATGGTCAGTCATTCCACTGAAGAAACTTTTTCTGTGGGATTGATCATGGAAGACAATACATATAAGGTTTCCTTGCCTTTTCTCTTCTAAAGGTGGTCTGAGGAAAAGAAAGAAAAGCAAGACCATAGTCCCTCTTCAGAAGCTTGTCTGTTTCATGGTGGAAATGAGAGGCTGCGGTGTACGTGGGAGGCAGATGAGGCCTTTCTTGTGGCATCCACCAGGTGGCACCAGATCCCCAGTTCTTTCAGAGGGCCCATGGCCATAGGGTATGTTGGGAAGGCAAGGAGAGAAACAAAAAAGTGGCCCTTGTTTATAGGTGGGGCAACAGAGAAGGATGTAAACACATGCACTGATAGAAGCACGGGTTCGAAGCCCTGGAACAAGCCCTGAGCTGGAGAGTTCGCACAAATAATACAATGTTGGGCACGGAGGAAGAAAGGAGGGAAGGGGCGGGTGGAGTCAGCCCGGGGCTCTCTAATGGGGGGCTGGATGTGCTGAAGGAAGCAAGCTAGACAAAGTGGTGCTGAATGTGGACGTTGAGGGAAGCAATTCCCTGAACAAGCCACGGGCCTCACCCCTCCTCAGTAGCGGCCAGGACTAGGTACCCAGAGATGAGAGACCTAGTCCCTACCTTGGAGGCAGTGCGGTCCTGGAGAACCAGAGGCCCAGGGAGGCCTGACCTGGGAACGGAAGGCAGGAAGGCGCAGTCAGGGCACAGGTGCAGGGGTGCACAAGGGGCCATGTTTAGGGAACTTCTGAGTGAATGTGGAGGCAGAATATGGATCTCAAGATCAGCCTTGGAGAGATTTACGAAATCTACCAATTCAGAGGATAAACCAGAAACCAAAGGGACCTGTTACCTACAGGATGGGTATGACCAGGGTAGTAAGGTGAGGAGGGAGGGACCCTTCCCTGAGTGTGTCTTGCTGTGTAGCTCTGGCCCTCAGAACCATGGTAATGCTCCACACCCCTCACCCCTACCCCAAATATAAGCAAGTAATTAAACCCAAATGGATGTGGGGGAATCAGAAATGGAAGATAAGCAGTAACAAATGAGCCTAACTGTATCCCAAAGGTATGAAATAACCACAGTGATAGGAGTAGAGAAAAAATAAATAAAAGAACTTTGGAAAACTTATTTTAATTAGACTCTGTAATGTGAACAACAAAAAGAACCAAATAATATAATCTAGTTAAAAGATATGTTTCTTGGGGCGCCTGGGTGGCTTAGTCGGTTAAGCGTCCGACTTTCGCTTAGGTCATGATCTCGCGGTTCGTGGGTTCGAGCCCCGCGTCGGGCTCTGTGCTGACTGCCAGCTC